TTACGATGATCTGGTCAGTCTAGCTATTATAATACGATGATCAAAGACAGTCTAGCTTCTATATTACGATGGTCTGGTCAGTCTAGCTATTATAATACGATGATCTAAGACAGTCTAGCTATTATATTACGATGGTCTGGTCAGTCTAGCTATTATAATACGATGGTCTGGTCAGTCTAGCTATTATAATACGATGATCTAAGACATTCTAGCTATTATATTACGATGATCTGGTCAGTCTAGCTATTATAATACGATGGTCTGAGACAGTCTAGCTATTATATTACGATGGTCTGGTCAGTCTAGCTATTATAATACGATGATCTAAGACAGTCTAGCTATTATAATACGATGATCTAAGACAGTCTAGCTATTATAATACGATGATCTATGACAGTCTAGCTATTATAATACGATGATCTAAGACAGTCTAGCTATTATATTACGATGGTCTGGTCAGTCTAGCTATTATAATACGATGGTCTGAGACAGTCTAGCTATTATATTACGATGATCTAAGACAGTCTAGCTATTATAGTACGATGGTCTGGTCAGTCTAGCTATTATAATACGATGATCTAAGACAGTCTACCTATTATATTACGATGATCTGGTCAGTCTAGCTATTATAATACGATGATCTAAGACAGCCTACCTATTATAATACGATGGTCTAAGACAGTCTAGCTATTATATTACGATGGTCTGGTCAGTCTAGCTATTATAATACGATGATCTAAGACAGTCTAGCTATTATAATATGATGGTCTGCGACTGTCTAGCTATAATAATACGATGATCTGGGATAAGTTATAACATAACAAAGTTGATCGTCCTTTATAAACATTTCATGCAGATTTTCACTGTGAGACGGCTTTCGTTTTTTAAAGAACGTTAAAAATGATTTACAAAGACACTAAATGTGGTATAAACAAAAATACCTTCAAACACAATTTTTCTTTATTCAATTCTTCGAAGACACTCTCTGGTAAAACGACCTTATTGACTTTAGCCATTTTTTGCAGCACTTTTTTAGCATTCTTAACTTTGCCGACTGATAGTAACCACCTTGGAGATTCAGTGAGTAACCTGAATATATGAAAAAATATATTTATTAGCTGTTGATTTGTTTTGTTTTATAATCGCGAATTATTTAAATAATATCGTAATTTATAAAAGTATATGTATATTATTATAATGATATTTACATCAATTTTTGTTTTTAATTTCAAAATTGGTGTACTGATACGTCCGCCTTTACGCTCACACAACACGATTAATTTTTCACTTTTAACTACACAGGATTCAATACATTAGTTATTAGTCTATGAGAAAAACTAATGTGACCCTAAGTTTCCAAACCACTAAAATATACAATGAATATACAGTATACAGTGAAAACACAGGTAGTGAAAGCGAGGCTACACTAAGGTACTAGCCACAAGCACGTCTCTTTTTGGATATTGTTTTTCACAGTTGAATTTCAACTTGACATCCAAAAACCACCCCATGGTGAACGGTAAACATCACTGACGAGAACTGTTTGTTGTTGACGTGAGTAAGAACTTTTCACTTCGTCATGGAAGTACTCGATCATAAGAAAAATGATGTAAGACCCGTGTTTCTGATAGTTATACTACCCCTACGAGTAGACCGAGGCTCCAAAAGGAGCCGCTATTTCCCGTTAATCTGCGAGGAGGGGTAGTATATAGTTAGTTATACTGCGAATTTGACGAGTTTTGCACGGCTTATTTCAAATACTGTGGTCATGGCACTATTGTGTAAATCGCAATTCTAAACCAGGTGTGGTCAACCGCAATTGGCTATAACAGATGTGTTGAAAAGTTCTAGCCAATCGGTATTTCCTCAACAGAGTTTGTTTTGTTTGACAATAGAATCCACCAACAGTGGACTTTATTGTATTACCATAACCAACACTGATTGGACCACGTAGAATTGCATAAAAAACAATCGATGACGTGAATTTGGTGCTCATTTGTGAGAACAGTGTAGCACGTTGTTGGGTGAACTCCGGAGATCCACCAGAATCATGTCCACTCAAGAATTTGCTGCTCCGGAAATTGACTGGGATTTGAAAAACTGGTTGTCCCAAATTGACGTGGACGTGCACGACGCCGAGGACTTTAAACTCTAAGCGATATTCAGAAAGAATTATGTTTTTTGCCTCCAGTTGACAGCAAACAAGTCGCCGAATACCAGCAGTCACGCATACCCAAGACAACTCACAGCGCTACAAAATGGGGCGTCAAAACATGGAATGAGTGGAAAGAGCAAAGCAGATGACTGATCTCGCTGGGATAAAAGGTTATCATACTGGGCATTCAGGAAAGGTACGTATTAGAATTTGCACTTTAGTAATGCAATGTTCGATTTCCCCGCTGACGAGAAATAGTCGTAACTTTATGTCGAAAATAATCACTACTCGTTAACTCCATTTTTTCATGCAAACTGTTTGGTGGAATACCATTCAAATATATTCACTGGCACGATTTGTCGGATTCATTTCACGCGATAAAGATGTAATGCATACTGCTTTGGCGTGTTTTATCTGAACGATTGAACGTACTATAACAATATATTGATATTTTAAGTTATGAGGTGGACTGTTACAAGCTATTGTACTTTCATATTAATACATTGTATTTTATTTTAATTAAACAGGTTACACAGGCAACCACGCTGTTCCGGCAAAATTTCGACGAGCAGCTAATAGCAGAAAGAACGGGTCACTCCAGTCTAGCAATTAGAAGCTACAAGCGGACGAGCGACGAGCAGACGAAAGCGGTGTCAGACGCATTGCAGCCACCCAAACAGAAAACTGCGAAATAAGCGAAAACGCATGACATATCCATCACCCCAACAGACGAGGACAAATCTAATACCACTGTCATAACCGATTCTTCCCAAGTGTCCGTGAATTTTGTAAAAGGAAATTAAAAAAAAAATTAAAATGTATCTTATAATCGTCATTGCGTATTTAAATAAAATAAAAATTCCATCTTATTCTTTGTTTTCATTCAGTGGCCACCTGTTATGTTAATCAGCTTTCCACTCCTGTTGTGCTCATGAATATTTAAATTAACCCATTCATTAACAGTCCCGGCTTGTTAATCCATTGATAAAACAGTACCGTTAACAGGAATGCATAATTAATTAGGTTGAAACTGTCCGCTCACGAAAGTAAGAAACATAGTTGGAACAATGGGGACGAGACAAAAAGTAGTATAACTTTTGTTAAATTATGTTAACGGCACTCTACCATAGCTACAACAACTATAGTTAAACCTGAGGCAATGATTTGTACTCAATTCGCAGGTGGTTTGTTCCGAATCTACATTGAAGGTGGAGAAAATCGCATACGGCTTATGGCCAGTGGAATAAAACTCTGTGGAAAACTTGTACAGTTAAAATATTTAAAAAAGTCCTAAAACAACCTGAGGGAACTAGACTAACAGTAAAAGCGTTAACCTTTTCTGTTGACGATTCTGTGATTCCTGCGACACTTGTTACACAGGGAAACGTCTAGCTGATGTTAAAAAATACAAAGACCCATTCCAACTTACGATGGCGGGTAAAACACCCAAATGATAGTGAATTTACCTTCCGCTCAAAAACTCCACTTATTTTAACGCGGATTGACTACTTTTATCAAAACATTTAAACGGTTATGTCAACAAGTGTGCCATCATTCATCTATTTTAACGGATCATCGTGCAATATGCTTAAATTTCAATTTGTTTGGCGTCTTAATACTAGCAGTTTACCGGAACAATCTTACAAAAACGAAATTGAAGATATTATTGAAAATGTGAAAGTTGAATTCGATGACATTTCACCACAACTGATCTTCGAAATCTGTAAAATAAGAATCAAAGAATCTTTTATATGCAAACAAGAGCAAAAAAAAGGTAAGACAGAGAAATGCTTGGGAGAGAATTACTTCGTCTTGATAAGCTAATTGATGATAGTTTAAATGTTAACCTGTTGAATGACTACGAGAGAATTAAGTATCAATTAGAAGATTTTTTATAAGTACGAAGCTAGGGGCGCTCAAATACGTTCGAGGGCAATGTACTTTAAGGATGGTGAGAAGGCAACTAAATTTTTCCTGAACCTTGAACGTAAACGACGTTGTAATGACGTCATTACTAAACTGAATACATCGCGGATAATGATTCAATTTTGCAGCACTCTGTTGACTTTTACACAAAATTGTACACTTCAAACAATCAAAACATACAAACTATATAGGAATAACTTGATGACATTCAAGTAAATAGCAGTTTATTAGACGAGGACATTTTTAAAATGAAAAAAAGACTTGGAAGGGCTTCCAGTTGAGTTTTATCAACGCTTTTGGGAATTTATTGGTGTATTGGTACATGGTTCAGTAAAGAATGGCTTACAAATCGGAGAACTGGCACAGTCTCAGCGTGTAGCAGTATTGAGGCTTTTGCATACAAAAATGAAAAAACTAATGTGACAAGTCAAATTTAAATTAGCCAAGTAGCTGATGACACCACCCTGTTTTTAGCAAATGATAATAGTTGTTACGAAGCCATTGAAACGGTCAAACGATTAAGCAATGTGGCTGGGACACTTTTAAATAACACTAAAACAAATGTGGATCGAGAAATGAAGAAACAGGAAAAGTGTCTGGGAAATATCATATCTATACAGACTTAACATTTTGCAAAAATAGGATTTGGGAAGTTAAGATATCCCAGATAGAAAAGAATCCTATGCCCTGGTGAAAACGAAATATTACCCTGTATGGATATTACCCTGTATGGTAAAATGACAATTCTGAAGACTTTCGCTCTATCATTAACATATATTTTATCCATTCTGGATTATAGCTATAACTCCCTGAAAGAGATTGATGTTATGTTTTTTCAACTTTTAATGGGGGAGTAAAAAACATGAAATATCAAGAAAGGCTGTGATAACAGATTATGATCAAGAGGGTATCAAAATGATAGATATTTTTGCTCATAATAAAGCGTTAAAGGCAGCGTGGGTCAAGAGACGGATAAAGAAACGGAAACCACTTAAAAGTTAATATCTCTTTTATATCTTAGGAAAAATAACATACACAAAATAATTTGTCATTGTAATTTGCACCAAATCTATATTATTAGAACAGATTACTTGGGGTAATAGATTCATTGCTTACCAAGGAAAACCCATATTCTTTTCTAACTGGATTAATATTATCTATATGCAAGACATAATAACTGCTAACAAAATAGACCTGGACAAGATTCTACGTCATATGTGTAACAAGACTAACTGGGCAAATGAATATTGCATGCTTTTTAATGCCCTAAAACCATGGATGAGTGTCACGAAATCTGATATTAACACTAATGATGATGACGGTATGTTTTTGAATGTACACAAATTTGACTCAACAACAAATTGAAAAACCTTATGTTGAATATATGTGGTCTAACAAGTATGACATACCAGCTGAATCTTGGAAACATATTTGGGGGAAAAGATTTATGTACACTACTTATGACAGAAACTGTATAATTTTATTTTTAAATTCATTTATTGTATCTTGCAAAATGGATATAATCTGTACAAATGGAAAATACGAAACACACCATTATGTGATAAGACAGTCTCTATATATTCTATAATTGTATTGATGTACTGAATTTTTTGGGTAAAAACAAATGTTTTATCTTTATCTACTTTGGCACTGACGTATGTTAAACATGAGAACACTTATTACCGGAACAAACATATTAATTGTCGACCAAATTCTAACTATTGCCATGCACTATCTATTCAAGAGATGGTGCCAAAAGAAATGCGACCCAAGAGGGAATTTTGCATTTTTATGTTCCAACACAAAACAACCATTAATAATGAACTACATCTAAATTATTAAAAGGCAAGTAAGAAATGGACAACATCTTTAATTTATATGGTTGAACCGGTATAAAGTGTTCTTCCGCAGTGTATAAAAATATTATTATTTAAGTAATGTATTAAACTGATATGACAATAAAAAATATATATAATGTAATAACTTCAACTTACCACCAATATGAAAGAAGCGCTGCAGCGGAAACACTAATGACGAGAACAAGAATTGACCAATCACGAATAAAGAAAGCTATCAAAGGTAATGCAGTGAATCCCAAACTATAAAATACTACACATGCCATCGTCATAGAACCTCGTTTTGATGGACCAACGATTTCTGAAACTGCAAGAAACCGAAGACATAATTTATATCAGTGTATGCGATTAACAATAATCTGTTTAAAAAAAACAATAATTGACTGAACATAATTTGTCGAGTTTCAGATTATCTTGTTCATTGGCTAAAATGCGGGGACAGACTTCAGGTCAACATTTTATGCAATTTTTGGTACAATTATTCAATTTTGTGCAACCAAGGTACATGTATAGAAATACAACTAGGTTGTATTCAACTGCTTACAATAAAAGGTCATGTAGCAAATATTTCTGCGGTGGTTCGTAGATATAATTTTGTTTTAAACATGTTATTGTATCTAGTGCACATGGACTGTGCTGAAAGTGTACAAAATAGTCTTACATATTTCTCACTCACATACACGCTTGCAACACAATATATTATTCATTAAATGTGATATTCACGCATATATGGTTTTCATCCTTTTTACTAGTTCACTATATAAGGACGAACTGTAAATATATTGCTAAAATAAATAAAACGAATAATAAGATGCGCATGCGCATAGGAAAGGGCGTCGCAGAAATATATCGAAAAATGCACTTGGACATGATTAAAATGACTTGAGTAGGCAATTATGAATAAATAAATAAAACTTACCAAATACAAAAACTTGCGAATACATACCAAACATAGCTATGCCTACCATGAAATTACAGATAAAGAACACTACAGTGGTTCGTATCACAGATTGTAAAGCTCCAAATACCACGAATATAGTTATGTTGATCATCAACGTTGGTCGACGGCCGATCCTGAGTAATTAAATAACGTGGTATATAATTTTTAATTGCCGAAACTTTTAAATGATCTCTCCAAAGTCCAGTTTGGAAGAAACTGCGTTTCTTATAATTTATTTAGAACTGACCTGTCTGCCAATTGGCCCATAAAAATATTAGCCAGGAATGGACCAAGTAAAAGTACTGACGTTGCAAGAGGACCCAGATAATACTGGTCGCAAACAAAACCAAACTGTAACGATAACATGTTTATACAGATTAATTAACATTGATATAGTTTACCGAACTTAGCTGTATTCCCATTAACAAATTACTTTTCAAGTTTGAGTTTGTGAAAGTAGACTGTGTTAGCCTTGTATTTAAAGTGTTAGATTGTTTTATGTTCAGTATATAATAGACACTTGATCATTTAATTGATGCTTTGAAAAATATGAATTAAGAAAAAACCTAAATCCCTTACAGTGGCAATTCGTATACATATATCGATTTACTCAGTCATAGAGCGATATTACGGTGTTACATTCTGTGTCAATGACATTCATTTGGTTGTGTGCACAGAAAATGTTGACCGCTGCCATATGATAAATTATGTCGATCCATAAATTCAATGAAAATTGTTATAGAAAACATTTATCTAACCTCTTGGACAGCAGTGGATGTATACTGGCTTGTATCGTATGTCATCTTGTCACCACATTTCATTGTGTTCAGTGTACGATTATCATTCGTGTTCATCAAGTCAATGACGTCAGTAGTATTGACATCATATCTAAGACAACTACTAAATTTCCACTTGGTACCACAAGCACTGCTAACAGTTTCTTTCGGAAGTGCCAATGTTTTCGCAAACAAGTCACAATTTGCAGTAGCGTTAATGTATTTGCATTGTTCAACGAGATCGTTATATTCAGGAAGCCTGCACCAGTGGTCTGTTTCCGCCATTACAAAAACAATCGAAGCTACCCGCAAACCAACTGGTACGAGACACAAACTGAGTAATAGAAACGTGCGTTTCTGAAATGTACCAAACTCACCCAAGTGGTGTTTTAAGATATCGTCGTAATGCTTCATTTTAGCTAATCAAATTTGAATTGTTTTGTCGATTTCAGGAGTCTGCACAGCATTCGTCAAGTTATGGATCCAGTGTGCTAAATATAATAACAAGAAAAAAATGATTGCTGTGTAAAAATGTGTATTCCTCTGGGTCTCTACAGTGTTGGAATTATCTGCCAACCGATTAGTTCCCTGTGAATTAACTCTGTAAAACGAATCGCCATTTTACTTTTACAGACCTGCAATTATTAAAAACAGCTGATTTGGTAATTTTAATTAAGAATACATAGCTATGACATCGATTTATACTACTGAATAAGGGGAATCAACATTCATGATCACAATATTAGTATGAATCAGGTGTGATCACGACCTACTAAAATGCTGACTTTTCGCTCAGGTGGCAATGATCATTTTTTTTTTTTTTACACAGCTGGCAACGACATGCAATATTGCTTTCAATTCATATAGCATTAGTTTGTATTTACATACTTAAATAACAATATACTCAGCTTTCGACGAAACGTTGTGAACTGAACTGCTATGTGGTATTTCTAATGTTTTGTTCCGCTGGTCACGTCTATATGGATCAGGAAGACAAGAGTGTCATATGATGGTTAAATTTCCCAGTTCTATTTTTGCTGTTGAATTTGGGGGTGCTGATTCTGAAAATGCATGTCATACAAGCGTTGACTGGTGCGTTGAGCATTAAATGTTGTTTATATAGTTGTGAGTAGCTTGAGTTTGTTTCTAGAAAATAATATCCCATTTGAAAGAACAATCGGGTTAAAATTACTAAGATATATTCAATACATGATAAAGCCATAAACAACTTGGTCTGAAGCCGTGCCTAGAATGCCAATAAATTTTACCGACCCACACAGTTTGTTGTCGATATTAATTATTTAAAAACGTATTTAATAGCTTACTTGACAGAATTGCGATCTAGTAAAATGTTTGATTTAGCAAATCATGTTAGCAATTTTGAAATCAGCGTCTTAAAATTTATCAGAAAAGGTTTGTCTGGCAAATTTGCCTCCAACCGGTCACCTCACCACTTACTTGTTTTCACGACTAATTGCCGAAAACAAGGTTTTAAAGACCAGGACCAACGCACTCTTTAAACACCGCAGACTATGCATTTGTGAAATGAGCGTCTCTCAAGTGACTAAAAACAGTTTTTCAGAAAATGTACCTTTCCAATGACGCCTCGCCCCTTACTGGTTTGTGCCTATGACGATTTGACCAAAATAGCCCTTTAAGTTGAAATTTAAATGACATATTTGTCAAATAAGCATTATTTATACATTTAACGAGAAAAGTTGGTATGGCTTATTTCTCTTCTATATGATTTTTCCACCTTTTAAGAAAGGTGTTTGGGGTTATTTACCACGAATATGTTATTGAACTTAAATCGCACTCAAATGTATTGACCACAGAAAGTTGGTCTAGCATATTTTCCTTCCAGATTACACCTACCCCTTGTCCTGCTGGTCTATTATTTCAAATCACCGTCAAAAAAATAAACTGGCTGATGCAACTGTTGATAAAACATTCTTCGTTCCATTTATTATGCTATACCGTGTACTGCCAGTTTTTAAAACATTTTCATTGTGGATTAGTACCACGTGCAGTTCTGTTATCAGAAGATAACGGAATAATGCTTGAGGCCAATGCTCTAGTATACTCATAAGATATGTCTGTATGCGTCTCGTCAACATTCGATGTTTGCCAACGTTTATAAACGTAGTTAAAACAACAACCCCACCAATATTGGTTAAAATTAAGAAAAAATCCATTTTCATTTTAAAATTTAACAATATGTCTATGTTCGCATGTGACGCACATCTGCAATACAAGCGTCCACAACACGCCAATCACATTTCCTTCATCTTAAGCTACGCTGTAAGTATCCCACTGCACGAAATAAAAGACTCCATGGGATGTTCGCTTAAATTATGGCCTCGCCAATTATCGCGCAAATCCCTATTTCACACAATAAATGGCGGCGCGTCGTCCCTCAATAAACACAACACATTTAGGCGAAAAGAAAAACACAACACTGATAGCACGGGCAAATAGCAAGGTAGGTTGGGTCGAATTGAAATTCATGTGTCATCTTACAATCCTCTCATTCATAGTGTTATGTCATCAGAATTGAAAAATATTAGAGCAAAAATTCAGATTACCAAACAGACAGAGAAATAAAAATATATAATATTATCAGTATGAATCCCAATATTGTTAAAGAATTTCAAAATAATGCCATTCAATGTATATGTATAACATTCGTTTGACAAAATTCTACCCATTGGAAGATTATACAAACACTTTAAACCTGCGACCCTGTTGGGAAAACATAAAGACTGTTCTACACGTAACAATTTTCGAAGCAGCTTCTAAGGCAGCATGACGACAGCAACATGTTCACGAGGGAACTGACCTTGGCGACTACTTGTTCACCCGTTCTACTAAGCGATTATACCATACAAATAAGACATCTTATTAGGCAGCACAAATCTTCAGTCGTTGCGTGTGCTCCATTTTACTGTTTTACAACCTCTCATTTTATTCAAATTATTCACAATGTTCGACACTCCTGCATGATACGCCATAGCCATGCTTAGAACGTTTCCCAGTAAATGGTGTCAAGTAATTAAAATAGATCAAGCTTGTGTTTTCAGTTGCATTATTTAGGGAATTATGCGATTGGTTCTCAAATTGAATGAAAATTCTGATTGTAAAATAAGGATGAACTCATTCATATGATACCGTTTCTTACCTTTTAGCTTACACGCCTTACGTCCATCCAGCCTAAAATGGCGTCAGTTCCATATCACGCCACTGAATGACTGGCATTTGGACTTCGGCTGACAGCCCATCCCCTTAAGGTCATTATTTTATATATACATATCAGGCACTTAAAGGTAAATTATTAAACCTTTAACTTGTATCAAGGCACTATGCAAAGATACAACAAATAATTATAAATCATGCTTATATCAGTTGATATTCCATTGTAACAAGACTTTTTAACTGCCAAATTCATCACCTATTTAATTGGCATTCGGCAACACGCTTTGGTGGAAATAAACATACTCATACAGTTGATAAACCTGAATAGATTGTGCAACTTTTCAGGGAGCTGGATTTATTAATTGCACCTGTGTTGCGTAATCAGTTAAGGAATGTAATGTCAATGCAAGCAACTTGTTATTCTATATTTAGGCAATGAGGCAATTTGTGTACCTTGGTAATCAATGTAAAAGTCGCGAACAATCATTATTACATGCTATATCGTAAAACACAGCTTTTACCTTTTTTAGCGTTCTGCTTTTCATGGATGTAAAAATATGATTATGCGTCTTTGTTTTTCTTCTCATATAACGGATGAAGTTAAAAATCAGATCGTTGCATGGCCGCGTTTTGCTAACGTATAAATCGTGTCACTGATTTCAAGTAGCCCTCAAATATGAACCATGAAATATCGCGTGATACGCTTTGACCGTGCTGATGGTAAACAATCACATGCAGTATGCGCGGTGATAAGTATTTATACAGATGTGAATGATCTTTAGATTATCCTATGTAGTACGTTTTGTTACGAATTATACAGGGAAAAAAACAACCGAATTAATCGCAAAAACACAAAATTCGCACAATCTATTTTTTATCATTTCCCCTTCCAATGGGCGTCAAATGGGCGTGTCCGGTGACGTCGATCTAATATTCATGTATGCGTCAACTCATTCGTGTATGCGGTTTGTTGTTGCCGACTCATTGCCGACTCCTCCAACCCGTGCGGGATCTGCCTGGCTAAACGCGTATTTATACAGATGTGAATGATCTTTAGATTATCCTATGTAGTACGTTTTGTTACGAAATATACAGGAAAAAAAACAACCGAATTAATCGCAAAAACACAAAATTCGCACAATCTATTTTTTATCATTTCCCCTTCCAATGGGCGTCAAATGGGCGTGTCCGGTGACGTCGATCTAATATTCATGTATGCGTCAACTCATTCGTGTATGCGGTTTGCTGTTGCCGACTCATTGCCGACTCCTCCAACCCGTGCGGGATCAGCCTGGCTAAACGCGTATTTTATGTTAAACAAATGGCCATGTTTGATTGGAAAGGCGCCCAATCAGACGATGTGTAACATTGCGCGGTAAGCTAAAGAATAATATGTCGAAAATGGCGACGTGTAGCGCGGTCACTTCAAAATTCGTCTAGTAATAATGCGTGTAGAGTGTGTTTAGGTTGTTTGCCAAACCCCAAAATCGCCACATACTTCGTCAGCAAAGTGACAAATATGTATGTCGACCATGTTTTAACAAAGTAATGAAACTGTCTCAAAAACTCTACTCGACTGATCATTCACGAGTTGAACTGTTGCACAATTTTCATGATTTGTCGCTGCCGGCACTCCTCTTTGCAACAAACTTGTTTGCAGCTGTTAATGCCTCAATTGCATGATTTTAGTGATCGGTGAGGCTTTTTATTCTGAAAAAAATGCGTGATCTGTTCTGGTCGCCATTTTAAAAGAAAACCGCTCTACTGTATTTTGATACATGATAGCTGATTGGCTATTTATTTTTGTTGCATCTCCCCTGCTTGTCGTTAAGGGCGCTTATTGAATGCACACTCTAGTGGTTCAATCTGCCAAGGGTAAGTTTGGAGGGGAGACCCGACACATGCGTTCAAGCCATTCTAGGAATAAAACACGTACTTCCCATTTAGTCTGCTGTGAAGTATTTTTTTTCATTTCTTGCATTGCACATTTAACTGTGATTCGTCGACATCAATAAAACGGACCATCGTGTTTGCCTTTGGTGAGCTACATTTATTTACGCGTTGGATTTCAGTACTGGGTGTTTCTCGCGAAG